ACTGCAGAGAGGGATCTAGGGGTCATAATGATAAATTTGAATCAACATTGTGACACTATTGCAAAAAAAGCAAACGTGAATCTGAGATGCATTAACAGGAGTGTTGTGAGCACGTCATGAGAAGAAGAGGTTACTCACCTCGGTGTAGTAATAATGGTTCTTTGAGATGTGTCCCCGTGGGTGCTAAACTCAAGGTGTCAGGTCCGTCCCAAGAAGTAATTCTTCTGTTGTATTCTGTGCTGATTAGGCCTCGTCCGGAGTATTTTGTCCAGTTCTGGGCACCAAGTTTTAAGAAAGATGTGGAGAAATTGGAGAAGATCCAAAGAAGAGCAACAAGAATGATTAAAGGTCTAGAAAACATGACCTATGAGGGAAGACTGAAAGAATTGGGCTTCAGTTTAGAAAAGAAAAGACAGAGGGAACATGATAGTAGTTTTCAAATATCTAAAAGGATGTTACAAAGAGGAGGGAGGAAAAATTTTCTTCCTGGCTTCTGATAGGACAAGAAGCAACGGGATTAAATTGCAGCAAGGAAGGTTTAAGTTGGACATATTTTACTGTTTATCTTTACCAGTGAGTTTGCTTGAAGTATTTACTAAATTTGCTTTAGGGCTTTATAAAGACTGGTGTGTACCCTCTTTCCATTGGTGAACCAATTAATAAATTAGATATGAGATACAGTGGCTGGAGCTGGAGGGATTTGGCTTATGCTTTCCTCTGTGTGATTTGTAAGTAGGTATGGGAGCATTGATGCAATGTAGCTGGGGTCTCCACATGTGGTTGTGCTGAGTGATAACAGCACCTGGAGGAGCTGCTATTGGTTGTTAGTGATGCATTGTGAGAGACAGCCTAGGGTGGAGAGAGTTTAGGGGCCACAGCAGTTCAGCATTCCCAGGCTGCACTCTGTGGAGTGGCAGTTTTGGACCACCCAAGTCAGCAACAATGGTATTGGTCCCAGGCTGGTCCCCTCCCCCCCCAGCCAGCAGAGCCAACAGCTGCCATGGGACCCTGAATCCTGGACCTGCCCCATGCTCCCAGAAGGCTGCTAGCCTCAGTGCTGCCCAGAATGTGGCACACCCCACTCCTCTAATTGTCAGCGCTGCCTAAAGCAGAGCATGCAACTCCCTCCCTCTGCCCTTAGCACTGGTCTGAGCATGCAGCATGGTGCTTTGACAGGATTTAAAGAGGGCTAGGGCTCAAGCCACCACTAATACAGCTGTGGCCAGAGGCTTGGGCCCCTTTGAATTACTGGGCCCCAGGGCAATTGACCCTTTTGCCTGCCACCAGCAGTGGCTATCCAGTACATCTGGGTATGTCTACACTACAAAGTTAATTTGAACTAACGGACGTTAGTTCGAACTAACTTTCATAGGCGCTAGACTAGCGCTCCGCTAGCTCAAACTTAATTCGAACTAGCGGAGCACTTAGTTCGAACTAGGTAAACCTCATTGCACGAGGACTAAGCCTAGTTCGAACTTACTAGTTCGAATTAAGGGCTGTGTAGCCCCTTAATTCGAACTAGTGGGAGGCTAGCCCTCCCCAGCTTTCCCTGGTGGCCACTCTGGGCACCACCAGGGAAACTCATATGCCCCCCTCCCGGCCCCAGAGCCCTTAAAGGGGCTCGGGCTGGCTACAGTGCCCGTGCCAGGTGCAAGCCTGCCAGCACCCAGCCAGCAGACTCTGCACCTGGCATGCCATGAGCCAGCCACCTGATGCCCCCCAGCCCTCCGCCTCTTCCCGGGACCAGGCTGGCGGCCCTCAGGGGC